CCAGTTAATGAGCCCGTTCTCAAGTCAGCTGACCAGCCAGCTTCCTAGCTAATTCACTGGATGTGAAATTTGTTAGCTGACAAACTAAGTTGTCAAAGGTTGACAAACACAAGCGACCGATGTTGGCCTGAACTTTCAACTGATTATTGAAGTAGTCATGACGTGAGGTTTCGGGTTTTCTAGGTTAGGTTTAGCATTTGTAAAAAGTGTAGGGTGAAACGCAGAAAATCAAGATCGGCAGCAAGCTCAATTCCTGCAGAAGGTTCACTTTCTCTTCGGTGTGCAAGTTGGGTTCCCCGGGCGCCGTGCCGTTTTGAGAAATCTGAATCTGGTGGCAGGTTTCCCGTCGACCGCTAAAAACAGAAACGCCTACATCGTGTGAGCAGCATGCGAGGCCTGTCGGTGCGGCAGAGGCGCGCTGTTCAGCTGCGGAATGGGAGCCGGACGAGGGTGGCCCCAAACGAGTCATGCCCGGCGATTTGGTTTCCCTTTGCCAAAAAAGTAGCCAGGGAAACCACCCTTTAGAACTAGCAGGACGTGGTTGCTAGTATACCTGCAAGAAATCACATCCTCAGTTAAAGTAGCCTCTTGGAAGTTCCAGAAGTTCGCCAAGAGTTCATCGGGCGTCCGCGTACCCCTTGGGAGCTCTTGCGTCCAAATGCCACACATACCAAATCCAACATATCCGACCAAGAAACATGGAAGTGCGCTGACCTCCTTCAGACAGATTTCCAATTTGTGGGAGTGCAATGGGTACATCAATACGGGAAAACCACATCTGAGAGACCAAGGAGCCCAAGCACCAGGGGCACATGGTCAATTTTCCGGCAAAACGGTCCAACTTTTCAGGGGGAGTCCAAGGCAGGAAAACGGCAAGAGCTTTTTTCGGGGGTTTTGGCGCATTCAGCGTTGCTCCGAATCTCAGCGAGGTCCAAGTCGGGTGGAGCCGTCGGTGGTTTTCCTTCCATCAAGATGGGTCGGACCCCAGGCCTCCTTGAGAACCAGTGGGCAAAGTCAGGAAGGTGAGAGGAGTTGCGGGACTCCCCACCCCCACCCCTCCCTCAAGGTACGGATTGATCTTCATGGCGAAAACCTGCCTTTTGCGCAAGGAACACGGAGATGGCGAGATCCCGGAGCGCTGAGACCGTCGGCAGGCGCAAAGGGAACGGTTGCCCCAAAATCGCGCGTGTCTTTGTTGAGGGAAACCTGTCCACTTCGCTGGAGAACACAAAGGGAATTGCTGTTAGGTTGTGAAATTATATTATAGTTGTTTAACATCCTCAACATCATGGGCTAAGTGTTTGTATTTCTCGGGGAACTCTTGGAGTTTCTACAATATTGACCCCGGAATAAAAGGAGCAATGAATATTAATCATTCCCCAAGCAACACCGGCAAGTACTGCTAATCATGTATGACCTGACGTTGTATTAGCAAACAAGCAAACTGCTAAACCTACTGGTTAAAACCTATGCAATATGCTTCTTCAATAGACACTAATCGAATAGCTAAAGTGTATTTGTTGCTTTGCAACAGGGTTCTGAAATGTGTGAGTGTGTGTGTGTCTTGCTTGTCAATGTCAACATCAGGTTTAGGACAGTGTTGATTGAGTGTCTCGTTGGTGCTGTGTTTAGGTTGGACAGGTACGGATCTGTTCAGAAGACGACAAGCCATTGTTCTTGAGTTGGTACCCCTTGTTTGGTGGTTTTTAAGGACAAAGGGAAACAAACCAGTTCGGGGATCCCCCAAATTAATGACGAGCCGCTCATGCCACGCATGCATATTTGTGTTTGTTTGTTTTCAAGGGAACCCAACGGGAAACCTGGCCCCGAGTTGGGGATTGTATGTCAAGCGGTTGGTCCTGAGTACAGGCGTGCGTAGAGTCGCGATTCGATCCCTTAGTTGGTACATTTCGGCACATATAGCATACATCAATGGTATTTCATTTCAAGTTGATGTTGTGAATAAAAACTGGCCCTGCCATAGGACAATCACCCTAAGATATCTTGTGTGAAACAAGAACCATAGGAGGTGTTCTGGGGTCTCCTAATGACATCTGACTAAGCACAATCTGAGCAAAATTGGGTGTGTCATTTTTCGGGGGAACCGCTTTGTTTGTGGCTTTAAAACAACATGTAACAGGGCAGCCATTATTTTGGGGGGTCCCCTACAAAACCACGAGGCACCCAGAGGTTTTTGCAAAGAGTTGGGCCAAGTCTTCCTGCAGTCTGACCCCAAAAAAGTCAGGTCATTAATTACCCAAGTTTAAAGGGTCAGCGAGCTGCCGGTTGATGTTTCGTTGGGAGGTGCAAAGGCTTCCGGAGCCTTTGCCATCTGCCAGGTCCACCCGAGCTTCGCCCTGCCGGGACACGGGGGAGAGTTGGCAAGGGGCGGGGTGACTCGCGGAAGGGGGTGGGCAGCACCTGGACATCTTAGCTTCCATTTGCTTGGGAATATGTTTGATTTTCCCTTGTTGGTTTTAAGAGGAATTTATCACTACTGTTTGTTTTTCATATTTTTTTCCCCGGGGTCTTAACCAAATGGAAGTTTGGGGTTCCCTTTTGGAAGTCCAGTTTTGGGTGGATCCAAGTTTTTTTTCTAGTCCCAGTTGGGGCTTAATTTCCATTGACCGGTTGGTTGGTTTGTTGGTGTTGCTTGCTTGCTTGGTTGCTTGGTTGGTTGGTTGGTTGGTTGGTTGGTTGGTTGGTTGGTTTTGGGGTGCCTAAACTTTTTCAGAAGTTTCTTGGAGGTGACCTAGGGGGGGGGGTTGGGGTGTGCTTCGGTTCCGTGTAGCCAGGCTTGGTTTGGAGGGCGTACGGAGGCCACGTCCCATCCAGCTTCCATCAACAAGAAGGAGATAGGCGTCATGGACGGGCATGTGTACAGGCCGAAGACAATTCAAGACCCGTGGGTCAACGTGTGGCGCCGTCTCATGGGCATTTGTAAATGATGGTAGAACATATTCGAATGCCGGGCTTATGGTTGCGCATTACCCAAGTTCAGGTATTCGAGTTCTTCCTCATCGTTTTCTAACCCACTTCCCCTGAAACGAATTCAGTCCAAGCGAGGAGCCCCTCACTTCGCCCCTGAGGTCCAAGGTGTGTGGCTCAGGTCTATCCGAGTTCCAGTTACCACTATAGCCCATATGTAGCTTAGCAGATATGTTCAGGTACGTTAGCAGGTTCGCGCCATAGACACGTGAAAGCATTGACGCTTTAACGCTGACACTCCGAGATCAAGATGGACCAGCCGGGCGATGATGTGTTGGATGCATAGTTCCAGAGCGAAGCCGGAGATTGCTGGGATGCATCTCATTGGGAGTTTATAAACGCCGACCTCGTTGCCTTCAGAAGTCGAAGTTGGGGAGATGTTGGAGGAAACTGACTGACACTCCCCAGAGACCTGAGCAAGTCACGGAACCAAGGCTCTTGAATGCTACGGTAAGATTGGATCGGGTTTCTCGCCCTCTGAGTTCTGGCCGACTCTTTGTTGGGAAAATAACAAATGTGAGTGGTCAACCAGTGTTGACCTCTGTCGGCCCATCCCTTCCGGAATTGAGATTGCAGAAGGGTAGCCAGAACTGATCCCTCAAACTGGCTGCATTTAGGCCACAAATTTAAGCTTGTGCGGTAATGAATCCATGTTTTTTTTCGACCCTGGACCATTCCACCTTTGAGATCGAATCAACTTGGATTGACTTGGCTGAAACTTGAAAACATGCAGTTTACTTAGTCCTTCGAAGTGAACATGCTTCAGGGGTTCTCAAAGTGGCTTGTTGAGGTGACTTCCAACCATTTGCGGGTTGATATTGAGGATATCACTCGGATGTGGGCGACCCAGCCATCAAATTGAACCACACACCCCGTGGTGCCTGTTTTGTTTCCGGGCGTTTGGATGTTTTTCTCAAATCGGGCAACAAAAAGGGTCCCTTTCTGTGCAGGCCACTGGTGGGGAGGGATCGAGTCTCGGAAGGAGCGCGCGCATGGCGAGCCCAGCGAGGAGCGAGCGAGCGAGCGAGCGAGCGAGCGAGCGGAGCACTGGGGTCAGGGATGGTCGACTTGAGCTTGGACGCTACAAGTTCTTCGAATTCGTGGAACTGGCGGTCCCGACGTTCGGATATGGCTGTCAAAGTGGGGGAGCTAATGGGGTTGATTCTTTTCTGTTCGTTCCATGGCTCTTTCGTGGATCCGATTCGCCCTTAGATTGGTTCTGTTTTGTCCTTTGAATCTGCAAACAGATTAATGTTGCAGAGTTGAAGATCGTGTCAGGTGTAAAGGTTTAATTTAAGCTCAAGGAGTGTGGAGACACTCAAGGGGAACAAACGTGGAAGCCGCGCTTTCAGAAGCTCATGGCAAAGTAGCCATTGTTTGGTTTTGACCCGTGGGGTTGCAACATGCGTTTGCTGGTTCGTCTTTTTGCGGGGTTTGTGTCCACCAGCTGGTCTTGCTTGCATAACCAGTTTTTTGGGCCCCCTTGTGGGGCTTGTAAAGATGAGCCCAACAAAACAACACACATTTGGGGGCTGTGGGTGAAGTTCGATGCCCGAAGGTTGAGAGGACATGGATGGTCCATGGAGTCACTTCTCACTTCATGAGTTGGACGTTGATTTGGAAAGACCAGTTTAGTGGTAAAGATTAGGTTTGGACCTTGTTTGGGCTATCCACACAGGAAGTGAGACTTAGGGACTTAGGGTATCTTGATCACACATAATTTTGGCCAACATTTGGCCAATTTGGCCAATTTTGTTATGCTTCTCGGTGTCTGAAATGGGATTGCACACGCCTCCAAATGGTGGCCTTCCTGTTAATTCTACTTTGACACCACCCCAACGGTATCTTGAAAGGCTGCCCTCAGAGGGGCCAAACTCCCGGCTCTGTCACGGGCTCCGGCAGCGTGCTGGCAGAAGTTGAGTTGGCAAATGAGGGTTGTACTCCCAATTTGGACATGCAGTTTCACGCGGCAATTCGGCGTGTGTGCGCCCGTATCTCGGATGTTTTCATTGGCTCACAGCTTCGACATGGAATCCCGCAGCAGCATCAAGGAGGCGCGGCTAATTGTAATGAAAGAGGAAAAGAAGCAGAACCAGAAGAATCATCATGACGAGTTGTACTTCAGAGAAGCCCTCTTTCATCTTTCTCCGTATGTTTGTACTTCCTTGCCCCAATAAAAGGATATGACCCTCGATTGGTAAATCGTTGTCTAGATAAGAAGCAGGTCGTTCTGGGTACCCTGTTCTGGGCAACTCAGTCTGGGGGTTTCTTGATTGTGGGTTCGCTATTGCGGTCTACTCCCGTCTGTCCGACCCGACACGAGTAGACGTATTATGTCCGAGTAAGTTTGTGAAATAAGAACAGCATTTTATTTGTTTCCGAGCAATTTAAGGAAACTGGCTGGCTTCCAAATGGAAATAACTAAAAAACGCTCACGATTGGCGTAATTTATGCTTCGGGGGAACGCCAGTTTAGTTTTGGCTGCGAGTTTGCCTATTCAACATCTATTGGGGAATTTGTGAGGGTTTGGAAAGAGCATTGTGGGGACCTGTCTTTTTGGAAGGGATTGGAGCGGGAAACCTATAGAGACTCACAAACTCAGCGTGGGATAAGCAAATGCTAGGGCATGGCCAAGTTTACCATCAGCAGATGCTCTACAGTCGCGGGAAGTTGGCAAGCAGTCAGAAAAGAGAGCATTGCACTGGTGGTGATCAAATGAGATCACGAGCTTACAACAGCTTTGGGTTTGCGACCTTGGTCTCCATGATGAAGGTTCCTCTCTTAGGATATTTTCCCTTAGTTTGGGTTAAACTTAAATATTATATTTTTCGCACACTGAGGTTAAATAGGGATTGGCTGGAAGATCTGACCATTAAGATTGGATGACCAACCAAGGCCCTGGTGCCTGCTATTTGTGTAACTTTGCGGCATGCGTTCTGTTTGCATTCTCTGCCACGGGGGAGAAGGTGGGGCTGCTCCAATGCTGAACCCGGGTTCCATAAGCCCCTGCCAAACATTTTTAACACATGCTTTATGTTCTTGAAGGCTCAAGGTTCTTCAGAATTGCCATGCAAGAGCATTGATCGCTGCCCACATCATCATTGCAGATAGCTTGCTAGGATATCAGATACGTTGTTTCTACAATTTCCCGAGCCAGAGAGCTCAAAAGCAAAGCAGGATGGCCCCTGTTCATCCTTCTCCTGGTCACGTCCGTGGCACGGTCAAAGGATCCGCATAGACATAGGGCCTTGTATGGATGGTCATAGATCCCGCAAAGTTGGCCTCTGACAATGTCATGTTCTGCTTGGGTGATGTTTTTGAGGTGGGGGCACTTGGGAATGTCAAAGACCACCTGCGGGGCGTGAAAGAACCCGCCCAATTTGTTCGCCTGCGAAGCGTAGCGTGGCTCAGCACAAGACCTTCAAAGCAGCATGTCGAAGCAGGTTGCAACGTTTTGCATGTGGGTGTTCACCGCCTCATCCTCTCGGGCCCGCGCTCCCCCAAACAACGCCGGGGCTCCTTACATACTCGTGAATAGATTAATAATATATATATATATACATATAGATATGCGCATAATATTAGAATAAGCATGATTATGTCCATGTACGACAATATATATATATATATATAGATAGATAGATCTAGTACATATATATATATATATATGTATACATATAAACATGTAGATGTGTGTGTGTCACTATGTGTATTCATACATATATATATATAGGCAGGTGACTATAATTGTTTATGTGTATACACACAGTTTTATTGGTATACTCTGCTGTGGCACCCGCTTCCACGTTTCCGCGGTTCGGGGCGTTTTTTGGGCGCTTCACCTGCGAGGCGTTGGGCGCCATCCAGGCGTTGGGGCGGCGAGGTGCCTGGGAAGAGGCGCTGAGGCGACTGGATGAGGCGAAGACGTCGGTGGTGCTCTGCAGCTCGGGTGGGTTGGGGGAGGTTGGGCGGGGTGGGGGTGGTGGGGGGGGTGGTGGGGGGGTGGGTTGGTTAGATTCTGGGGCGGGGGAGGTCGGGGGTGGGGGGGTGGTCAGTGGTTGGTTAGTGGACGATTCGAGGGGGATTGGTGGGTGGGGTGGTTGGTTTTTGGGGTGTTGCTGAGCTTCTCAGGGGTTGGGGGTTGGGGGGGTGGTTGGGGGGTTGCTTAGTTTCTGGGGGGTTTGGGGGGGTTGGGGGGGTGGCGGTGGGTGGGATTGTGGGGGGTTGGTGGGTTTGGTCCATTTTTGTAGGGAAAGCCTCTTTAGACTGGAGGTTGGGAGGATCAGGATTTGGTTGGAAGGTTGTCGGGTGTTGGGAGGACCAGGGATTGGAGTTAGGAACTCCTTTTCAGGGTATCCTTTTTGCGGGCTTAGTCCTAAAGGGGAGACCAAAAAGGACATCAAACATTTTTGAAGGTGCCACCATTTAGAGACAATCCAAAAGTTAGCTTTTGGTTGGATCTTTGGCTTTCTCCCAAAAAGAGACGTGGAACCTAAAAGAGAAGCATCCCTGCAGGAAAATTGATCTTTCACCTACTGGGCACGTGCCAAAGTAGGGAGACACCCAGTTTTTGTTAAACTGGGTTTCCTTTGAGATTGCCTGGTACAGCTGACTGATTTGCCTTTTGTTAGGGCAACCACAGGTAAAGCGTCATTGCGTGCAAATCTGTTGGTTGCACGTTAACCTTTGTCCTTCTTCCAATGATGGAATCGGACGACGATGGTGCTTGCCTGTTGAGGACAATCGTCTTCACAAGTCGACATTGTCCACTTCCATGATTGTTGGGGAAGAGTAACCGTGCGGAAAATGTGCCCGCAAAACACAGATTCCCTTGTTTTTTGTGTTTGTTTTTTTTGAAGGAGGACACACCCTTATATGGGGGAGGGAGTCTACCGCACACCGGTTCGACAAAGATGCCTGTGGTTTTGGGATGCATGCCAGTTTTCGGAGTGTGCAGCTTGACTCTGGGGGTTGTTTTGTGGGCTTGCAGTTTCCAAATCTCTTCCCTGATCAGAAGCAACCTTTCGCCACGCCTCTAAATCAGCTCGAAAATCAGGCACTACGGGTCGAGCCTTAGGATGCACTTTGATCTCTGTTTGACAGTACGAGCGGTATTGATTTAGGAAGCAGGTTACTTCAGGCAGGCCTTAGTTGGTGGTTTGGATTGGTGGTTTGGGGATTTGATCCTTTCCAACATATACCCCCAACAAGAATCAAATTGGTTCTTGTTGAGGTTTTATATTGGAAGCCCCCCCTCCCTCCTTCCACATCCAATCCCCCGGCCGCTTTGCGCCGTGCAGCTCCGCTAAAGAGCTGGACCTCCGGACCACACCGCGGTTGAGACCATTGGAATGGGAGCAATTCACATCGCTGTTCTCTGGTATGGGTGTTTCTCAAAGGTTTCCTAAACAGCTTGGTTTTCCCTTGTGGTTTCTATTTGAATTACCAACCGGAAGGGAATCCACCGTTTTGAGGAACCTCCCTCTGTGTTCTAGTGTTTCACGAAGTTGCCTGATTATCTGGCCATGTTTATTTGTAGGGGCTGCAAAGAACAAGGTTTCATGCTGTAGGGAGCAATCAACACAGTGTGCAGTTTTGGTTTCCAAGGTTCTATTACCCTCAAGCGCACGGCTGTTCTTTCATAGCCGCCTTGAGGTAACGCTTGCGCCAGCAGCTGCTCGAAAGTGAAGTGGCCTTTGGCGCTGGTTTTGATGGACAAGGTGCGAGTCCCGGAGGTAAGACTGGCACACATGTGCCATGGTCAAACGACACCTTTACTTGGCTAACATGGATGGTCATTCACCTGGTAGTAATGATCCTTACTAACCGTTAGCATAATCCGTATGAAGGGAACCATGTACATAGGACACACAAAGAGTTTTGACCATGGCCCATATGGGTTCGCGTTTGTTTTGAGGGTACCTGTCTCAGATTAGTTTAAACAAAAGGATGGCCACCAGTTGTAGGGTCCCCCTATCGAGGTTTTGGAGTAGTGACAATTTATATTAGGGAATGCCTCCAAATGGTAATGCGTGAAGGGAATCGTTAGTAGGAGAACTTCTGTCAGAGTCCTTGGTGTTGGAGATGTTATGGTGTCTCTTTTACATGCCTCGTCTTGGCATGTTGGCCTACCTTGAAATGGGCGTGTCTTTTTGAGGTTACCCAAATTTTGTCTTGTTTTAAAAAGGCACACCACAAGAAACAATGCAATTCGTGGGGTCCAATACAAGAAGACACATCCAAATCGGGGGGAGGTCGTCATGATATTGATGAGAGCAAGTATTCCCCATCGGAGCCAGACACACGTGTTCCAGCGTTCCATTTTGTTTGAAGGGTAGCTCTTGGCATTAATGGGGTAAGGTTGCAAGACCGGCTGGGCGGGCTTTCAAAGAGGGCTTTTACCATACTATCGGGGCAAACCAGCACAATGGGGATAGCATGGTGGATTTGTGCCTTGGGCTGGGTGGGTTCTAAGAAGCTTTTTCACTGCCCCCCAAGCCACTACCAGGGAAAAACCTTGACATGTCGGTCACCCAGGCCGGGTGGTTGTTGTGTTGCGACTGATTTTTATCTCCGTCTGAGAATGGTGGAAGACGGTGCCACTATTGGTGTTGGTTGGCTGGCTTGTTGGTAGGTCGGTCGGTCGGCTGGTTGGTTTGCTGGCTGGTTGGTGGTTGGTTGGTGGGTTGGTCGGTCGGTTGTTTGGTTGGTTGGTCGGCTGGCTGGTCGGTTGGTTGGTTGGTTGGTTTGTGGTTGTGTCTTAATCAAGCAAACAGTCCCTTTTCAATTTGTCACGAGGTCAGCTAGACACCAAAATATGTTCAGGAGCATGGTCCCAGCTCGCAAAGACGCTTTGTGGGGCACCATCCATTTGTAGACCTCAATACTTTAAACTAAGGGGTGCTAAGGCGCTCATAGTTTCCGGCGGAGTTTTCACTCAGCTGGGGGCAAGAATACGTCATCCAATTCCCCGCCATATTGGTCTCTCATGCCCTTCACCATCCTCCCTCCGGAGAAACAAACAAACAATAAACACACACACACACAAGTGTCCACACATCTCGCGAACAATGCGTTTGATTTGTTTCAGCCCAAAGTGAGCTTTGACCAATCCACCAAACTCATGCCAAACTTGTTTTTCTTTCGCTCCAGTCCAAACTGACCCAAACTCATGCCAAACCTTGTCCCCACTTGGTTTTAAAGGGAATCAATTTCAACTACTGGACATATATATATATATACATAGCTTTTTCCAGGGGGCTGAAATGCGAATGGAGGACATTTGTTTCAGTCAGCTGTGGCTCTCAGGCGCGGGCTCAGGGCCTAGAGGTGACCTCGGTGACTTTGAACTGCGGCCTACAGGCGCTGGCCCCTTGGCATCTGGGACACCCGCGCCTTCGCCTTTCTTTGGTCTGAACCTAGCTCATCAACTTAGCTGCATTGTGCGCATTCTCTTGTGATCATGACTTGATTGGGCTTGAAAGTACCACGGAAAAGCGCTGCGCAGATTTATGCATGACTCGTGCGCCCAGTAAAAGTGAACTTTGTCTTCGGAAATTCCTTGCGGAGGTGGGAGTCCTATTCCGAGGTGATCCCCGGATTATGTAACATGAAACACAAGAAGGGGGAGTCCGCCTCAAGATGACACTACTTTACACCACAGTCGCTTTGGTGGGGGTTGCATGTTAATCCGCAGGAGTGCAACAAACGGATCCAATCGAGTCCAAGACAAGATACATGTGGTGCCATACATCTTATTCAGTCAGCTCTTCGGGGTCCATTTGCTTGGTGTGTGTGTGTGTGTTATCCTCTGCATCGTTGTTTTGCTGTCGCGTAGCGTTCGCATGCTGTGAGCATGTGCCAAAGCAGTGACTCGAAAGGTAGTCAAACGAGCTGGATCAATGGTTGGGACCGGCCATCTTACATCTTTGCCCTAAACGTTGACCAGGAGACAGATGGTGCGCGCACGCGCCCCAGTTCGGCGTGAATACAGCACATGTTCAGCGATGTTACCCCAAATCCGGCGTTGTTACACTGTCATTTGTTCGGCGGTGTTACCACGTAGTCTCGACCGGGAGAGGTGGAAGAGTGTAGAAGTTTCCTTCGGTGGAGTTGAACCTCGGCCGAGGTTCACGCGCAGAAGAGCCCCACCACATCTTGGCCGTTGTCTTTGGTACTGTTGCGGTCACAGCTCGGGGTGCAGCGTGATACAGAACTTCGGCAGAGAAAGCTGGTGGCCACAATGTGAGCATGTGTATGTACATGTATGTTGTGATATATGATGTACGCTTGTGTTGGGCTATCCAGTGTCTCTGGCTTAAGATGTCTGGTTGTTTTCCACAACAGGCAGTTTGGACCCGTGGTGCCCCCGAATTAACAGAAAGGGCGAGAGGGAGAAGGCAGGACCAACGTAGTCGACCTTTTCTTTCTGAACAACAATGATGTTAATAATATGTATATATATACACGTATTTACAACCATTTTTGTTTGTTTTACATAGATACATCATGTATATACATATATACATCATGTGTATATACACATTATTGTGGAGATTCATAATTCACATTCATTTGCATTGATATACATCAATTGGCACTGGACAACCTCGGGCACAAAGTAACTCTCCTGCATGTTTACTGAACGATCCCCAAACATGGGTCATGCAAACCCAAGAGGAGATATGTGTTTATTCTGGATGGTTGTTGTTGGGCTCATCATGAACTTGGGCACAGCCAACGACACCACTAGGGGAGTTTGCGTCGCCACCCATGATGAAGATATCTTTCATTGGGATATTTGTTCGCTTTGCTGTTTTTGTTGTTGTTTCTGTTTGTCTTCGGTTTGGTGAATGATTTTCATTCGCCCGGATTAGTCTGAAGGGCAGTATCAAACGGCGAAGCGAAGCCAGTCCCAGCGTGAGGCTCAGTCGGAAAGCCAGGGCAAGGAATCAGCAAAAAGCGCAGCTCGCAGGGATGTGTTCACTTGTCACCAGCCCAAGTTGTCGGGCGCAATGAACCAAGCCCCGGATTTGGTTTGCCTTTCACGAGGGCGTATTGGAACGCAAGCCACCAGGTCTGGTGTTGACATCACCGAGCCGTGAAACAAAAGCCTAAACCTAAACCCCTTTAGATGGTCGAAGCTGTTTCATGTGCCAAATGTTTCGTTTGGGACTTCCTGTTTTGAGAAAGTTGGGCCCATGACATTCGGAACCCATCCAACTTGCCCGTTTGGGATGTGGCAGGGAGAGCCCAAGACTGGTGGCTTCCCTTGTGTCTTCCATTAAACCCAGCCCAAAGTTTGGTTCACCCAAATTTGGTTCGAGGGTTAGGAGGGATCCTCGCATTGAGGTCAGCTGGAACTCCGCCAGCGACGCCATGAGCAAAGCCAACGTGGGAAGGTGGACGTTGGCCACAGAGACGCTCGACATTTCTCGGCGGACGGGACGTCGGGTTTCACCATCCAGTTGCCCTGCGAATTCAACCGTTGCAGTTGGTTCTCCTATTTGTGTTTTTTGGAAAGGTTTCCCTTTCACAATCAACCAACCGAAACATGCACCCGTTTCCACCTAATTAGCCGCTGGGCGTCGCTGGGCTTCCGAGAGGGAAAGCCCGAGGCTGATGTCCTGCATGGCCACGCGAGCGGTGGAGCAGGCACGATTTGGAGTCCGGGGACTGGCCAGGGGAATGATGATGCAGATGTCATGCTGTACCCGCCGCGGCTCACCTTCGTCAATGCTGTTCCGACGCTAGGTCTAGGTAAGATAGGCTGGCTTGTTGCATTCCCAAGCCGCATGCCTGTCTACCTACCGACCTACCCCCTACACGCTCCAAATCAGCTGGATCAGCTAATTTTGCCCTCTCCTCCACCCGATAGCATGGATCCAGAGGCCCCTTGTAGACGAAAGTTGTTTTCCAAGACCCAGGTGCTTAGGAGGGTGTAGGCTGTGATTCCTTTTACGAGGATCTTTTTGGGTTCCATATGTGTTGTGTTTTGTGTTTCTTCAATTGGAACCGTGGTTTGGTGGTTTGTGGATTTGATCCCCTGCACTAACATCCAAACCCGAATCACAAAACCGGGTCGTGTTTCCTTACTCCACCATTGAGAGCACTTTAGCGACTTTCGTGGACCAGGCAAAGCGCACCTTGAGCTCAATCTTCAGGCACGTTAGAACCAGCTCACCTGTATGTTCTTTAGAAACTTGCTCGACTCCTGATTTTCAATTTGCAACTCATAGTATCTTAGGTGCTCAATATCAGGGGTCTATTGTTTTGGATATCCCCTTTTCATTTGACTTCTCTTGCGTGGCACCGTCCGAACAAAAGCGGCCCTCTTTTGACCCTGCGATCAGCTGCCCGTCCACCAGGACTCTTTCAGCGCCTCCGTGGCTGCTCGAAGCCTTGGAAACTGGCCGGATGCGCTGCGAATTTGCCGAGGCGCCGTCGGGGACTTTCTTTTCGACCGCCCTGCTTTATGCCCTATATGGCCAGCCAGGCGGAAGCCGTCAGATAGAACTTCAAATAGCGAGCTGTTGTTTTTTTCTAGCTATAAGGCACATGTATTGTGCATATGACCGGTTTACCACAAATCGCTGAGCAGTGGAGCCGCTTTGGGGGTGTTAAGCAGCAGCAACCAGCTAAAATCGAGAACAAGTGTTGTTTAACATCGGTCCTTACTTTTTCTGCCGATGGTAGTGGGTTCCCTTGTTCTGGAGTCCGTACCGAAAATCGGCTTATGGATCCCCCCTTTTGACTCATTTGGGGGTGCTTTTTTGAGGCTCCCCATTTTGGATTGGTTTTTGTTTGAAAAACCAAAGGAAACCAACCTTTTTCTTTGGGGGGGCGGCCTAAAAAGAGACAACATTAAGTATGTTCCTATTACACCCTGAGATTACACCCAAGAGGATCACCCCAAACAATCGCGAGTACATCCAAATAATATGTGTTTTCTCTGGAAAATGGGCTAGACTAGGGGTGATTCCCCAGAGGTCGTAATCCCCGGGTGGCATAGGAAATTGGACAATTTCCATCTGAGATGCCTCCAGCATCATCACCTACAGCTCCGGCATCTCGGCCTGCGACTGGCAGCAGCAACTGCAGTTGCTTTCCTTGGCCCCCACACGGCGCCTGCGGCTCGACGACCAGGCGGGCGACTGGAGTGGTGCCGTTTTTTTTTTTTGATTTTCCTGGACCACTTTCTTTCACAGCAAGTAGCAAAGGATGCCCATGGTTCACCCTGGCCGTACGTCTGGGTTACAATACTAAGTGGGGGAATAGTTTGATCTGACCAGCCCTGGATGTTACGTGGAACCTGGATGCGGGGTTGTTTGTGTGCTAAGTTGCACTGCTACAGGAAACCAAATAGGGAGAGAGAGCATTTATCAACTTTTGCCAGACCCACTACTTGGCATCCAGCAGCGGTTCATTCATAGATATCCAAAAGCATTGAAGCTGACCCTGGGAGCCTGCCTTCATCAAAGCCTGGCAGACTTGGGGTGTTTCCCCCGATTGGGGAAGCCCCCGACTTTTGTGTTGGTGGTTTTCAAGGGACACCACCAGGAAAACCCACCTTTGTGGATCTTTTTGAAGACTACGATGCCTCAAAAACTGGGACACCCGTTTTTGGCCCCGGTGCTTTTCCGAAAACGATCTTCGCCAGGCCCGCGGCGCTGCCCTACGACCGGGGGCCAGCGACGCATCCGAGTCCGAGGAGTTCAATCTGGGCCAGTGGCGATCAGTGCTGCAGCTGCTGCGAGAGGAGAGCAAAGAGTTCGCAACGGGTCAGACATACGAAGTGCTGAATTCCTACCTGGTTCCCAGCCATACCCAAAAGGCGTTTTAGCCTTTTGGTGTTTAGTGGGGATTTCCATATCACCCACTTCTAGCCCTTTAGTGTTCAGTGGGGATTTCCATTGCACCCACGGAAAGTTAAGCTTTTAGCCGGGGATCTGAGGACAGCCCAGCTACGAAGTGCTAAACATTTTTGGTGACCTAGCAGAGTTTTGCAAACTGCATTCATGCTCTTTGTGCAGATGGGCAGCAAACTACTCAAATTTGAGAGGACTGGACAAAGGGCTGGAAATGACTCAAAAGTACCGTAAATGACAGCAAAGTTAAGATGGCTGTAGCATGGCGCAGATCCTTGACACGTTGCTAAATATTTTGTTCAACATCCTGCGTTTGTCATAACTTGTGTCTCCTAAGTTCAAGAAGCGTTTGCAAAGTCCTGCTCTCAACAACGGGTATCGTGTGCGGCATATTCTCCCCATTTAGCGTATGTCCCTGAATTGCCTCTGGCAATTTCGCCGACATCCTCATCAAGCGTCTACACTATGCGCTACTAGATGTTCCATATATCATATAAAACCACGCTGTTTGTCTAGCTAGTTGTGCAGGGGCTAGATAATTCACATGTAAGCCGCCACATCCAAGGACACGCGTCCAGAACTCAACAAAGCACCGATGGAACAAGGACCGAACAAGACAAACCTGAAGCAACTGCAACACCTGGTTCCGGAGATAGATGGAGCCAGTCCTTTCTCCTGGGAGATGTGTTTTGCAGTTTGCTCAGAGAGGTTTGTTCAGTTGTGCTCCGTTGTGCTCAGATAGCATTGTGGGACTGAGAGGACAATTTGCATTCAGCGGATTGGAAGACATAATGTCAAGAATCATGACAATAGCAATACAAACAACAATTATGCTGAATCAATCACAACTGATAGTGACTATAACAATGACAATACTAAGAACAATAAGCTGACAATAATGACGATAATCACATATGCATTTATGCATATATATATACATACATACATACATACATGCATGCATACATACGTGCATACAGTATGCATAGATGGATATCCCAAGTTTAAAGGGACTATATATACATATATGCAACATGCATAGATGCAGACATAAATATATATATTTTGTATACACCGTTTGCGCAAGTGACTATTCCCTTTGACGTGTCCAGATCCGCTACTCGGACCTCATCGCGCTGAGCTCGGCGGTGGCCGCTTTGACGCAGCTGCGGCGGTGGCAAGTGGCTTTGGGTCTCTTCGAGTCGAGAGCCGGCGCCGGAACCTCGCTCCTGGGCAAATGGATGGAATGTGTCCATTTTTTTGAGGGTACCAATTGGTGGTGGCGGTTTTCAAGGCAAATTGGGTGTGTCCGTTTTTTGAGGGTACCAAAAGGGGAAATCGGGTGAGTCTTGTTTGGGGGCAACCATAGGGAAAGTAGTCAGGCCCCGATTTTAAGACATACACAATTTGCGGAACAGCTCGAACATGGCTTTTTACCCTCCTAAGGAACTTGGAGAGGAAATTGATCTTTCAGGTGCCCTCCCACAAATGCCATGTTAGTGGGAGAAAGGCTAATTAAAAGTTACGATTTGGCCATTCGAAGTCATGACCTTTTTCCAAAGCACAAGGACACACTTTGGTTTAAGCTGCGGCGTTTTGCCCCAGATGGCCTCCGGAGTGGTTCGGAGCGATTCCGGGCTAGGATTCCCGAAGGGTTCCAGGATCTGTGCGGTTTTTTTGCTTTCGCAGGATGTGGGGGGGAGAGGGGGAGGGGGGGTAGTGTTACATGATTGTAGCTTACAACACGCCCCTGTCAATGCGGAAGTCATTATCATCTGGGTCGCAGCTAGAGCTTGGAAGCTCAGTCTGTTTCTGGTTGACAGAGTCAAGGCTTGGTTGAAGTTCGGCCCTTGTCTGTGTTCGGTGCGCCCAGAGCCTCTCTTGAAGAGGCAAATCTACATAGACCTGAGGTTTGGAATTCAGTTCCCTTGCTCAGGCAAAAATTGCGAGGATGCCGTTTTTGTTTCTTCTTCCTTTTTTTCCAAGGAGTGGTCAAATCCACCACGCGCACACTTTAGCCCCCCCTGTGAAGCAGGGTAAGCGGGTTTGTGTGCAGTGCAATGCTGTCCGGTTTGATGTTAACAGCAATTGGACATGGGTTAGTCGATCCTAAGAGAGAGGGATGTTCCGCACACGCAAGCACTGCTTCGTTCCTCGAAAGGGAATGGGGTTAATCTCCCCCAACCAGGACGTGGATACTGTACGGCAACGTAAGGGAATTTGGCGACGCAGGAAGCGTTGTCTTTTCTTCTTAACCGCTTTGTACCCTGGAATCAGATTATCTGGAGATAGGGTTAGATCGCGGGTAAAGCACCTTGTCCTCCGAGGTGTCTGGTGCGTTCTCAACTGCCCTTGAAAAGCCGAAGGACAGACTTATTCACACCCCTGGTCGTACCCATTGACAGGGCAAAGAAACGTACGAAGAAGTTGATTCGGCCCTGCAAACCGCAGATGGAAGGAAGAGGCACAGCTTTGCTGGCTTCTGCATTGCAAAAGAAATATCATGTGAATAGAACAAATTGCTTGGTTTCTTTCGGTTGACGTAAAGACATGGCCACAAGTCCGGTTTGGGTGCCTCGTCTTTGGCGACTCGGACTCGGACTCCGGGTGCCTCGTCTTTGGCGACTCGGACTCGGACTCCGGGCAACGAGTCGCTTCCACGAGCCGAGGCATGACGAGGTGCTTTTGGGCGCCGGCATCGCCGCATGCGCTGCTGGGGGCTTGTGGGAACTGGCGCTGAGCCTTCTGTGCCCAGTCGGAGGTCGGAAAGTGCCCCCAAAGTCTCCGGAGGTTTGTGGAAATATATATATATATATATTTAGAGGTTTAGGTGTTTTGGAAAGACCGTTTCAGGGGCTAGGTGATTTGGGAAGACCTTTTTAGTCGGTAGACTTTGTTTGGCTCCCAATCTGACATTCGGATGTGAAATGCCATGGAACAGTGTCCATGCAGCATTGGGTTGGTGAAATGTTCAACCCTCCATCCTAGAATCAAGGAAGCTGACGATTGGAAGGTTGTGAAAGACCATGTTGCTTTTGGAGAAGACCCCTGTTGCTTCCCAAGTCTCCGGACACGGACACTTTTTTGGAAGACCAGTGTTTACATAGTGGGAAGCAAATACATTGACTAGTTTGGGTCTACCATTTCGAGCTCCCCAAATTCGGGTGGTTGCCTTTGCCCCCCCCTCTCCAAAAACACGCGGGCTGGGGGCTCACATTGTGGCGAGTGGGGCATCTTCGGGGCAACGACATGTGAGCCACGACAGCCGCTTGTCCAGAAGTTGGGGAAATTGGGATGCTAACGTTGAGCTCCCGATGCGATTCGATTTCCGCAAGCAGGTGAGCCTTGTTTATGGCAAGCTGCAAGACCATGCGGCTGCGACTCCCACTTTTCGAAACTGTGAGTAGTGAAGTCTTTGGGTTGCAATCCGCGTCCAGGTGTCCCAAGGCCCACCAAAACATGCAGCTGACCAAACTGGTGGTTGGTATATGTTGGTATGCTTATTCCATACCACAAAAATGCCTCCAAGGACCCAGGAGCGTTTGCTTGTAGAGACTCCAAATACTTTGCTGACCCCGAAGCGTCCCTTTTGGGCATTTAGGCAGCCTAGTTTGGCATTTCTTTCCGGCCTTTCGTGACACTTAGGTAACATACCGTAGCCTCCCAATCGAAGCTGGTGATGCTTAGGTTTTGGACCTTCCTTAGGCCTCCCTATCCACTGGAAGGGCATGGGAAAGGCTAGCTACGGTGCCTGGAAGCGAAAAAGAACTGCTCTCATTTTAGCCATGCAGCCAGTTCTGATGCCCAGGCACGGGGGAAGCCGTGCGCCAAACCTGATCATGTACAACGCGGCAATCAGCGCATGCGAAGAAGGTCTTGCCTGGGAACACGCCTTGGCCCTTTTAGAAGCCCCTTAGATGGACAGATGGGTATGGCTCAAAATGCAAGATCAAGGGTTACGCAGGTTTTAGTCTTTGTTCTCCATTTACCAAGAGGCCATTGTAGACACCCATTTTTTAAGCCACCGTCTAATGGGTGTCTGTTTTGCAAGTACCCCTTTTACAAGACAATCGGAAGTCAAAGTGATTTTGGGGGGTTCCGAACCCCTAACGACATGAGGCGGCTGCCTTTTGCTATTTTTAGTTCAACTGTGTGCCGCATATGTGTGGGCAAACACGAAAAAAGCAAGCACCATTTCCCACTGGGGTGTTGTGACCTAGGTCCAAATTCAGGTCTCCCTTTGTAACGGTGGTCTCGAATTCAATACTTAGTCATTCTGGATGAGGATCGGCCAACGCTGCTTTTTGAGCCGCCCAGTTTCAGGTCGTCCTGCTGTTTTGCTTTGGGTTTGATTTTTGATTTGCCCTTCCGGCTTCATCCAAAGAACCTTGCGACCCCACATCCCTTTGCATTCCTCATCACACCCCTGCATTTCTTTCTCCCTCCCTCCCTTCCTCCCTCCCAGGTCCTTTGTCATTCAATTTGTTGCACTTCGACAAACATATCGCTTAGACTATGTTTCCAATTGAACTGGATGGCTTTGGTCACATTGTCCTGGGGTCTCCTCCAAAGACTAGTTTGCATTTTAGGGTAGACTAAACTTTATGGCTATTGGCAAGGCATCTTTGGACTTTTTTTGGGGGGGAGAAACTGGTCGGATTGTCCACTGGACCCAAAGAAGTTGCTTTTTTTCCACAGGGGGTCAACAGCAACCAAGTAGATCTACGGAATCTGAGCAACTGATTTTCCGACGCCTAAAAGCTTGCAGAAGCCGATGCACCGGGGGAAAAACCTCGTCGGAGATATTTTGCGGATGTTTGGCTGGCGGCAAAAGCTGAGGTAACGAAAGAAAGATACGAGTCAGCAAGGTCATTGTTTGTACTGCAAATTGTTGTACATGAATGATGCATACTAATGGCAGGTACAAGAGGTAATGACGATTTATGTGAGGCAATCAAGCTTGCACTTGTGGGCATCGGGACAAATTCCAGGACCACAGTTCCGTTGCCCCTTTGCAAATAATTGAACCATGAGCCCATGATGAAAAAACACACACACCTTTTTTGGCGTGAAGAGAGTTTTTGCCCAAGGCAGCAGCTTTCTTGCCCTTGCTTGTTTAGATTGTTCATGACAACAAGCAGTTCGGGAGTTTGATTGTATGAGGTTTTGGGAAGGGTGTTGGTTGGCTGTGTCCAATACTATATTAGAATAGCCCACCTTGAAACCAACACTAAAGTCGCGATTGCTCCCACCGACCTCTCTTCCAGTCTTATCATGGGACTGCCATCAGTCATCAACCAGCCTTTGTTCATCCTTTTTCAACAAACAATGGTTGCTGCTCCCGTTCAGAATCTTTACATAAAAGCAACCATGCATTGTTGGGGCCTGCAAGGTGGGGAGTACCATCAATTCTGGGCCGTTCTTTGGCCATCCTTCCTACCCCACGAACGGTCTGAAACCTCTAAAAGGGGACACCCCTACTCGTGAGTCAGCGGGCTTAATCCGGGACCTGGAACATCGGAGGCCGTCGAAGTCTCAAGCTCAGGCCATGCCGAAAGCCCAGCTCCTGCCGGACATCGTGGCCCTGAGCTCCACCATCTCTGCGCTGGGCCAGGCAACATTACTCGATAGACGGTCGTGGGAACAAAAGTGGCGGGGGGGGGGGGGGGTCTCACTTCCTGAGTTCATGGAAGACCATAAATTGTGGGAAGACCAATTTGGTGCCAAACAAAAAGATTAGACTTTTTTTCGGCCCACCAACTCAGGAAGTGAAGGGGGGGGGTTGTATGCTTCCATTTGCTGAAAAGAATCGTTGTTAATTTCCGTTGTTGGTGTTTGAGGGAACCTATCACTACTGGAAATGTGTTTTTTTTCAGGGGACTAAAGCACACGGAAGTATGCTAGCGTGTCTGTGATGCCAAGGGATTTGTCTTGGAAGATCTTTAAAGTGAAGAAGGTGTCATATCACAGACAAGATAACTTTCCACGCCCCATTGTGTTGGAACCCATTCAGAATGGGGTCAAAGGATACATTGGTGCCATGTAAATTTCATTTTTCAGACCCAAGCAAGGAATTTCTCGCTGACCAAATCCCAAGCTGGTAGACAATTTTGGGGCTTCTAATGACTTGCCTTGGCACGCATTTCTCAGCTTCCCTCCAATTGGTGGTTTGGATTTGTGATTTGGTGGTTCCGGGTAGTTTCTAACTTTCCCTCAAGAAGGACACGGTTCCAATCCCCAAACCACCAATCCCAAGCTACCAACTAGGGGACACCCGTGCCGATTTCGGCCTGCCCTGCGCGAAAGGTTCACCTTGAAGGAACAACTCCATTGACAGGTGACAAGTGACTTGGAGGTACTTTCAAGGGAATCAGGCGGCATTCCCCTCCTCCCCCAACCCCTTAGACTTTGACGGTCTCCGTTTCCGGACACAAATCCCTCCCCCCCCCGGCCCCCCGTTCTTTGTTGGTTTCCTGTTTCCCCTTTTGCGGTTGTGTCTTTTCTTCTTTTTTTCTTCTGGCGGTTGGAGTTCGAGCGAGTTCGAGTCCGAGTCCGAGTCTCGGAGCCTCAGGGCCAGCGCTGGAGCGACGGCCTGGCGCTGCTTTGGCAGCTGCAGCGCTCGATGCCGCTGAACGTGGTGGCGCTGACGGCGGCGATCTCCGCGCCGCGGTCGAGGGGTTGAGACAGACGGGTCAGACGTCCTTAAATGGGCGTGGCTCGTCTTTTTTGAGTTACCCCTTTTTTGGTGGGGTTGAAAGGGAAGCCAAAGGAACACCCACAAATTGGGGTGGGGGGGGGGGGGGGGGTTCCCTAAGCTGGGGTATACAACAACATAGCATGTTGGTACCAAAAAGGGTTGTTGGTTTGTTCACAGTCTTTTGAGACTAAGCCGATGGTCTGGGTATTGGTCTCCTTAGCTTAGGGCCCATGGAGTGGCCTGTCTATTTGCGTGTGCTTCTAGGGCCTTGGAGTGGTTTGGGGATCCCTTGTTCTAGTCGGCCCACTTGGGAGGGGCATGCTCCATTTGCCTCAGAACATGGTTTATTTTCCGCGGCTGGTTTTAAAGGGAATCTATCACTACTGGAAATACGTTGGTTTTTTTCTCCAGGGAACTTAAGCAAATGGAAGAAAAGGGGATGGGGAAGTGGTTCTATGTGTCTTCCTCGGTTTTTTACCGACCCGCTTTGTTGACACCATCGTTTTGACTTTCCTGTTTGGTTGAATGTAAAGGGATTCCCTTTGTGCAGCTCTTTATTTGAACTCAAAACACGTCCACTGGTGCCACATGTTTGGTCTGGACAAACCGGAGCAATACCCACGCTCTTTTTGTTCCTCTTGGGCCAATTAGACTACATTTTTTGTTGGGACCCCTGTCTGCTAAACAACATGCACGCTTGTTGACTGTTCCCAATATAACACCACCGGGAGATGTTCTGTTTGTGATGCTTACTAGACCCATTTGACACCGGCGCCGAGAGAGGGCTTGTCATGTTTTGTTCATAAATGTTACCCTGATAGATCTGATTGTTTGTGTTTGTGGTTGTCGTAGGTTTGGTGCTGTGCCTGTGAGGAAGTTTCTTGTTTCCCCGAGACAAGTGGTCAGACTCAAGTTTACGTGATACCCTTTGTTTCATTCCCTTTGTCCAGAGACGGTCAGTGGACGTATATAGGAATACAGGAATGAACAACTTAGGTGTAGCATGAAGTGATTCTTCCCCACGACCATGTTCTGAATTGCAAGCTCAGTGTTTCTTACCCACTACCATGTTCTAAGTTGCAAGCCACATTCTGAGCCACAATCCACATTAAGATTCCAGTTGGGATGCGGATATCCTCCCTCAAAGTAACATCTATGGGGAGTCGTTCGGCCTGCAGATTAACGTGCAACCCCGCATAATTATGATTTGTAGAGAAGTCCCCTCTTGCGGAACCGTTTGATTGGGATCTATACTCATTTGCCAGGATCCTTCCTCATTTTTGGGCACACCAGTTCAAATGTTTCCACATCTTCAACCCAGCGGGACTCGCGTCCTTGGCCCCTGCGAGACGAGGTCTGTGAGAAGTCCGGTCGATGGACGTTAGCGCTGCAGCTCTTGGACATGTGTGGCGATCTGCGATTGGAGCCCAACACGCAGAGCTTCAACAGCGCCTTCGTTCGGGCTCACGTCCTGAGTTCCGGTTCGGACTTTTGGCTTTTTGGGTTTGGAGCATTTGAGTGGCAAACAGCAAGCTTGGGCTTTTTGGGGCCTATCCACTCAAACAGCAAGTCTGGGCTTTTGGGAATTTTGGGGCCTATCCACTCATCAAGCAATGGGTTGCCCACCCCCCGCCTGTTTAAGTAGGGGCACTCCCCCCTCCGCAGTGCACGAGTGCGTGGGTTCCGCTTATTAATTTGTGATCCTTTGTCAGTTGAGGATTCAGACCGTGTTGAGGCCTTACTAAGTGGATGCCTGGTCCTTGAAAGGGGGGATCCATGATGGGAATATGATAACAATCTCACAGAGTCGGGGAGTAAAACGAGTTCTGTGAAGGTCCAATACTTGGAGGGGTCTTCGATGTCCGAATAATACGGGGCTGAAGAATCAACCACTGCTTCTTTTTTGAAAGCCTATCACACCTTTGCCATTGTACTTTAAACAACTAGGCAGGTTTGTGTCGAAATAGCGGACCCCCCAAAGCTGGTGGTTTCCATTTCGGTTCCCCTTGAAAAGCACCCCAAAAACGGATACCCCCTCAATAAATGGTGCTGTCCTTTTGGTGTTCCTTCCTCACAACCAACCTGAAAAGGGGTGCCTTAAAAAAAGGGGACACGCCTTTTGGTTTGGGTGGATAATTAACTTCAAAGGTTGGCTCACCCATACCCAGTGGATCCCAGTTACTTTTTCGGGGTAGCCAGCCGTTTTCTTTTTGACTTTCAAAGGGTGGCAAGTCCTGGGTTACCTGCCATAGAGCTACCCTAGCTCCCACTTACATAGCACCTCTCGGAGGGCAATTACCTGGAAGATCAATTTTCTTTTCAAGGGAATTTCTGTCAGATGCCATGGCAAGGTCGGAGGGAGGGGAATAGGAATGGCATAGGTATACCCTAATTGAATCACAGTGGGTTACCTGCCACACAGGAAACAGGCAAGTGGAATTACTGGGTCTGTCAACATTTGGGACCCCCAATAAATTGTGACTTCTTGGTGGTCTCTCTTTAGAACCCCAAAATGGGTAGCCTTACACACCACACACAGCCCCAAATTGGGTTCCATTGGTCCAGGCGCCATCAGCGCCTGCGAGAAGGGCAGTGCTTGGCCGAAGGCGCTGGAGCTCTTGGAAGACATGGGCCACCGATCCCTGGTGCCCAGCCGGGCACCCAAGCACCCCAGACACCTCGGGTGCGCGTTTCCGGGGAGGAATGGCCCCAAGCCCTACGGCTATTGGGTTGGATCTTTAGACTTTAGCTTTTTGGAGTCCCCTCATATGTCCTTTCAACCGGCAAAAAGGTTCACTTTTTGCTGGGGGATCTACAGCACCCAAGCAAGCCAAGAGGGCATTCTCCAAAGCACGGAGCTCATAGCTTTTTGGTTGCAGGGGTTGTTTTGGTGAAACACAAAAAACACAACAGGTGATATCCCCAACAGCCCCGGAACCGCTGGAACCCTGCGGAACCCTCTCTGACCCCCTGGAGTCTATGTAGGGAGAGACCCCAAAGCTTTGAGCTGTTGGTAATAAATCCATGGGCCTGGTTGACCTGGTTGTATCATCATCTACCAGGGTCGAATCAGACTCAAGAACAGGGTCCAAAAAAGAGGCGAAATCCTCAAACAAATACGATCGATTAACAAACCCGCAGTAAGAGTGATTTTGAGAAGTCCCTGACAATGCAACCATGGCGAATATATATGTGGCTACATATTTAATCATGTCTACTGGTATATTCCTATACTTACAATTAAATTTGGCAGCACGCCATTGTAATCATTCAGACCCTTATCGACCTCAGCCTTTGCTCTGCCCCATTTAAAGTTGTTGTTTTGGAGGATGTCATTTTGGGTATGTGTCACACCCAAAATCCGTTTTGATTTTCATGCTGGTTTCCGTTTTGAAAGGGGCCCTATGGTTTGCCTGGTGGTTCCCCTCAGACGGTTTCAGGGTATGAAGGTACGTCCCTAAAACCAGGTGGGTTTCATGTTGGTTTCCCTAAAGAGGGAGCCTATGGTTTCCGAGGTTTCCCTTCAAATGGTTCCTGCGATAGGCAGGGAATGAGAAATGCAATGATCCCGAGAAAAACCAGCCAACAAAAAAATCGGGAATCTGCAGGTTCATTCCCACATTCCCTACTTGTAAGGGTAGCTGGGAAACGCTCCTTCACCACCACTGAGCTTCACACCTCCAATTGAAGCTGATTTGTTGATACCCCAAAGGGGTTCTTTACTACTTGTCTTCAGTTTTAATCTTCGGGTTTCCTCCATATTTTTTTCCCCCCTTGGTTTGCCCTCAGACGGTTTCGGGTATCCAAGTCCCTTTGGACCTCCCGACTCGCCTCGCCTCGACGCGCTCGTTGGAGCGAGCGAGGCGCGGTGAGCTTCTGCGCCGCCAGCAGCGCCTGCGCCAGGGCCGGCGCCTGGGAGCAGAGCGCTTCGCTGCTGCGACACGAGGAGGGACCAGGGGCCGGGGGATGAAGGGGGGGGAGCGAGCAGGGAAGAGGGGGGTCTTGACATGTGGCTCGTCTTTTGCGTTCGTTTCCGTACCTTTTGGCCTCTCGGCGAGTTTCCCTTGAGGTGTTATGGGAAAAAAATGGGGAACCTTGGGGAGGGCCTGGAATTGACGTTTGCAGATGTTATGGGCGTGGTTGCTCATTTGGTAAATCTAACGAAACCAGTGATGTGGGTGGCATATCCAGGGACAATCCCGCCCCTCCCCCACGCCCAGTGAAGGTCCCTGAGAAAGACCCCCTTCAAAAAACTCTTTCACTCTCAAATGCTTCAAACACCAACCCTAAAGCCAAGCCTAGCCATAAACCAAGCCCAGACCAACCCCCAACCAACCCCGGCTGTGCAGTTCTCCTCTCCGAGGAGGGCTTCGCTGGGGTGGCCGCATGCGTGGCCAGCTGCGACTGGGCAGGGCCTCCGGCGGTGCCAAAGATGCCGTGGCTGCTGGGCCTGGTCGACCAGGCTCGCCCCAGGAATCCACTGCAAGTGCGCGCGTGTGTGTGAGAGAGAAATTAAGTGTGAGTTTTTCCCGACAGGTTTGCCGGCAAGCTCCAAAGCCAACCCCGCTGAATAGTTGTAGGGCAGGGAACTTGAAGTGATAAATTTTCACGGCCTTTCTGTGCGAAAGGAACTTACAAAGGCGCTGGCCACCACAGGACAAAGTAGAAAGGTTTTACTATCCCGGAGAAAAAAAAGGAGCATGAAACCCAGACAAGTTGTTCAGAAGCAGATTCCTTTGGAACTGAGGGTGTTCATGTTGAGTTTGCCTGGGCATGATGCAAGGGACCTGGTTGTTCAGTGGCACCATAGATCAATGGCACCATCTAAGTCCCTTCGTGTTTGGTGGGTTCCGGACCTACTAAACCGGGAATACATCCCCAAACATGTTCCAATTATTTTTCTAGCATGGGACACGGAAAGAACTAGGCTTTGGGCCCTTAGAGCTAAGACCAAAGGATGTGAGCACAATAGGCAGTTTAGTCCAGCTCGGTAAGTGTATCCTTTGTGAAAAGGTATGGCATCCTTCACTGCCTGCGTATAGGTCAAAGGGCGGCCTTGAGGGGAATTAATAAAGTGTTTTTTGTGGATGAAACCCAGCAGTTGGGATGATTCATTCATGCCGGTGCGAAGTGAATTGTGTCCTCCACAGGGAAAGCCTCTCTCCAAATCCAAGCCTTGAAACTTTGATCTTTGGAACCCCCGCAAGACCGTTTCCGAATGTGAAGGCTTCTTTGTTGTCCTTGACATGCACGGCCAACGACCGCATCAAGAATCCTTAACCACCAAACCACCAGTACAAATTAATTACCAATTGGAAGGAAGCTTAAATCTGTTTTGTTGGTCTTCGCTTCACCTCTTGGTCTGGCCCGAAAAAAACAAGCTGATTCTCACAGGAAGCTCAAAGCTCGCCCAGCCAAGCCGCTCCTTCACAGGCGGGAACCGAAATCCGAGATCCACTCCCACCCCCAACACAAACACATGGCGTTGTTGCTTTTTTTTTGCGATGAGCCTTTGACATCTTTAGCGATGTCTTATGCATTTGTTGGTTCTGTGTTTGTCCATGTTCAGTGTTGCTCCCTTGAAGTGACTGTGTTTGGGGCTCTCAAAATTACCTTCGGGGCTTCTTCTTTTTGTCCTTCACTTGGGTCACGTTGAGGACGTCACTCTGCCCCAGGTGTTCAGTCGCACCCTGTTGCTCCTTGTGTTTGGTGAGAGCACAGACCCAAAAAGGGTTCAATAATTCTTCCACAGGTCACTGGGCAATCCAGGCGTTGGTTCCCCTTTCTTTCTAACCATCGTTCTTTGCAATCACCCGCCGCTTTCCCTGGGGATCTGCAGGTTTTCCAGACAGAAGGATCCCCGGAAAGAATGGAAGGTGCCCCGAAAGGCAAACGGTAGGCCTCTGATGTTTGGACCCATGGGCCGAAATGCTCCAAAAAAAAAGATGTTCCTCCGGCCGCAAGAGCACCGAGCAGTTTGGCAAAGCAAGGGATGAGGTGCAGCAGCCTGAAATCTCACCGTGCTCCAAGTCGTTCTTCGGGTCATCATGTTTCATCTTACGAATCGTATCAGTCATGGGACTCCATTCAATTAGTTGGGCGTGCTATCGTATATGCGGCTGCCTGGCCTGGCGTTTTCATGATCTGATGGCAAAATGTACAGTTGTTGGTTGCAGGGTTGCGTCTTTTCAATGTTGCTCCTGTGTGCGGAAAGTGGACATTAATCAAAGCACTTGTTGCTGACCTGCGAACAGTAGTGTTGACCCCAGATTAATCAACCCTAGCTTATTCATAGAAAGGTGTCCATTTCTGGGTGAAACGTGGGGAATCAGACCACTATTGGAGGGGCCCCATTCGCATTGGTTAATTAATATAGGGTCATGACTTACGTAGTGTTCAGAAAGCCAACAATGGCCAGTGCCCTTTTTTCAACCAGGGTTGCTAGGTAATTAGTTGGCAGTTGGCCTTTTCAATCTTCCTTAATTGGTATTGCGTGTGGTTTGGTAGTACACGTTGGCCCCATGTTGATTGATGGCCCCTTACTTTGCCAACATGTAAGACTTGTAAGATCAGCCACTCTCATTGTAGTTTATGGGGGAGTTCTCAAAATGGTGGACCCCTTTGTGAGTGACAACATTTCCCCACACTCTCTTTTGAGAAACACCCGAATAGCTCCACCTCACTACGGTGCTTGTTTTTTTCTTCTGGGCCCCATAAAATTGAAGTTTTTGCTTTGACTAGATGGCAAGAGCTTTCAGGAATTCTCTTCAGAAAGCAGCCACTCGAGGATCCCTTTTTTGTGTCTTCACGAAAAGCCCCATTGGCGGCTTCCTGCCCAGATCTCATTTGGACCAATCCATTGGACCTACTGCGCTGGTTTTGTAGGTAGCAAACTTAGAACCCACAGCTGAAAATGTGTTGTCTTGTATTATCAAATGAAGTTTAGATAGAAAAGTGGAGTTTCCCACATGCGAAATGCGCGAAGGCAATCCCTGATTTGCGCACGGTCTTGCCACGGGGTCGGAAAGTTCCCCAATGGCACGGCCGTGCGGACTGTTTCAGAGGTGCACATCACGTGGCAGGCGCAGCACTTTGGCAACCTGAGGCGCAAATTTCGTGGCAGGGGCAGCATTTTGTTCCCATGCAAGGTCAGGTGCAGATTTCGTGGCAGGCGCAACACTTTCGTAAGGTGAGGTACGGATTTCGTGACAGGCGCAGAGCTTTTGCAAGGTCGGGTGATTGATTGATAGACAGATAGGTAGTAGATAGATAGATCAAATGGAGAGCGAGAGAGAGAGAGAGAGAGAGAGAGAGAGAGGCAGAGAGAGAGAGAGAGAGAAAGACAGAGACGAAGGCAAAAATCGGAAGGGAAGGAGTGAAAATCAGAAGGAAAGAAAAGCAGAAAGAAAGAAAGAAAGAAAGAAAGAAATAAAGAACACAATGGACACTCCAACGCTCCACCTGCCAAACCCGGCTGCGGCAGCCAACTCGACCAAAAAAGCGCGCGGGCACGTGGCAGGGAAGTTGCGTAATGTTCTTTCTAGAAGCTTCGGCCCTCCAGCTCTGCTGGAGTATACCTGGCATTCAGGGTTGGCAGTTATTAGATTTGGCACCCTGATGTGGTGTGCCGGTGGTGTTTGGCAATTCAAATTCAACGATTGGAGCTCTAATCGGAGATGGGGTTTCAATCAAATTCACTCAGAGCGGTCTGAAAGGACAAGCCCAAGGCGAAGACATTTCTGCAATTGCAGCGTTACGAATTTGCTGAGGCGTGGACGGTTTTAAGTATTCTGAGTACCGTTTGGAGCCAGTCGTTTAGTTTTGGTATTCAGCTTTTTGTTTAGGAGGTTGCTCAGGCAACCCTGAATTGGTGGATTGGCCAGGGGCTAGAATGATCATGGCAAAGGGTTACAAGTGGCAAAGCGTTTGAGGCTGACCCACTACCGCTTCTTCAAAAAAAGAAACCGAGGTTTTGGCGGAGGGATGTTCTGCATCTCCAGCAAACTATTGGGTTGTCAGAAACGAAACATGTTCTGTGTTGTTCAATCACGTCTTTTTGTGTACTGTGTTTCTGCTCTCACACATGACAACACCTATTTGTGTTTTAGTAAACTTATAATATTATAACAGAACAAATCAAGAGCACCCTTTGTTTGTTTGAACTGTCCAACCAACAAGCATCAGCACCAAGTTGTGTTGTAGTTAAACCAAACCAAACGAAACCGTTTTTCATTAAATAAACCTATATATAATTTATATATATATATATATATATATCCGATGCTAAAGTGAAACTATCGTTTTTTGTATCGGAAAAAGTCAAGCAAAACAAGTTTACCGCAGGTCTTGGCCGTGGAGCTGTTGCACCTCCACGGCTTCCTCCCCGCTTCGCGGCTCAGCGCGTTGCGGCGGCGCCTGGCGCCGCTGCTGCGGCGCCTCCCGCTGGCCGCGGCGCCGCTGGGGGCCGAAGCGGCGGAAGCAGCGGAGTGGCGGACGAGGGACCCGCAGCTGGAGCGCCTCGGGGAAGCGTCCGTCTCCCCTGTTTTGTTGGCCAGGGATAGGTTGACTTCGGAGGAATCGACCCCTGTTTCTTCATATATCGGGATTCGTAAATAAACCAATGGTTCTTAATATGGGGGTGTTTTGGGATTTAGCGGGGATTCAGACCACTTTTGGAGCGGAACACCCCGATATTAATAAACAATTTGTTTTCGAAAGCACGGGTCGACATTGCAGGGAACCTCCAGCTAACATATGCATAGGTGGCCTGTTCTGGTTAGTTTGGTTAAGCATGAATGGGTTCCGCTGGTTTAGATTGGTTTTATCTATTTACCAGGGCCGTCTACCAAAAGGTCACCTATGAACATATGCAGATGTAAATTGATCAATCCAAATAGTTTGAATGGCCAACCGCATGAAAAGTGATCAACTTTTGACCCCTGTCGGAAGGCCCAAGGGAGGAGGCCACTCTCGATTTGGGGCCCGGTGTGTCAGCTGGTTTCCTACCGGACTGGTTTCTTACCGGCTTGCGCTTTCCTGTGGACAGCGTGAACCAACTGGGGCTGTCTTTGTTCGAATCCTTTTGCGGGGTCCGAAAAAATGGGAACCAAAAGGACACCCATGAATAATGGCGGTCCCCCGGTCGCCCCCACACATTGTTCAAGGGGGAGGGCCGGATTCAAAGTCTTTGCTCGGATGTTCAATGTGAGTTTTCTTGTAGGTGAACGGGGAAAGTAGCATGAGCCCTTGGGGAAGACGAAACAGGAAACGGCAAGGGACTTCCCAAATGTAAAAGGAGATCCTGCATAATAATAGGTACTTTTGGACATCACCTCACGCTGTAAGGTTCACGACGACAATCGCTTCCCTCTAAGAAATCTACCCCGAAAAATGAACATTCCCTGAGGCCACACAGTGCTTGGGGTCAGCCGGGTTCCCCCAGAAGCAAATGTACTCATCCCTTGAACCGGGCCCCACTTTTAACTTTGTAAACAGGGTGTTGTACAAACTTTGAAGTGTGAAGAAGGACCTTGGTTTGTAGATTCTGGTTCGAATGGGGCCAGTGGACGCTTGGGTCCTGGAGTACCTCCTCCAGTTTTGGAGTAAAAAGTAGCATTGGGGATCCCGTCACGCCGTTGCGTTTGGGAAACGCAATACTTATGAATAGGGTGCGTTTGTTAGTAGGGGGAAGGGCCTTTCACTGGCAGCGTTCATTGGCCTTTTTTCGGGACTCAACCAGGGTCAGTGGGCAACTAGGCATCAAAGGCCGTTTCTCCTGTTTAGATCCTTTTCTTTAATTGGGACATAATCCTAAAGTCCCAACCTACCTGGAGCCTGATTTCAAGCTATATAGGTATCATATGTAATTGATAACATGTACTCGCTCATCCCACGCCCCCACTCCTATGACCTATCCTCCAAACTTATGTGGAACAAAACATGGAGTAAGCTAAACTTGCAGTTACCAGAACTCGTGGAAAACGCATCCAGCAACTTTTGCCAAGGCGACTAGAGCTGAGGCGAGAGTCCTTCTTGGGCACCATCCTCACCGCCCAGTTTTGCAATCTCTCGCCGGGTTCCAGGCGGCTCGTTGCTTGGGGAGCGTCGGAGGTGGTTGGATGTTGGGGTGTGCGAGGGAAATGCAAAAGGAAGCCACTCTTGGGGTGCTAATGAGCCATCGCTGGTTTGAGGATTGGGGGTGTTTGTCTGCCCTGTACGATGTTGCAGCTCCACAGAGGTCGGTTTTCTACTCTGGGTGTTTGGGGCCCGGTCGGCAACACGTAGGTTGAGGCCCGTCCAGATGCGATCGGCTGCGCACGGGTTGTCTGAGTGTCTGTGAGCGGAGGCCAGATCCGGATAGTCTCGGGTCTGACGAACGTATCCCATTTGTTCAGTTGTGGCATTTGCATCCATGTTCCCCTATTGTCTGGTGGGTTTGCACGCCCAAAGATGGTCAACTCTACAAAGGGTTCTCTTTCTGTACAGCCAAGTCCCTTTCGCATGCCAAGGGCTGGCCTACTTTGATTTTCAGAGAAAACCGTATGGACAAACAGCGCCTTCCTCACCTCTGGAGCTGCCGAAGTTTAAACATATCGTTATAGGCTATGGCCAGGCACTATGGCAGTGTCTGTTTTCAGGTTTTATAGTTTGTCCTGCTTGCCTACTGCAACGTAACCTGGACAGTTAAGGTGTATGTAAATAGACACATCTACATATGTATATAGATATCCTTAAATTGTTTGTTGAGAATTCAGAGAGCAACCAGGAAGGTTGTTTTGGAGGAATCTACTAATCAGAGACACGCCCTGCAATAGATCAGGTTGCTAGAACGGAATCTCCTTTTTGGGAATTTTTAGAATTTCACGCTAATTTGCAGGGGGGTAGCTAGTAGGGAAACAGACCATTTTGATATCTGAAAGGTTCAAAGTTGCAAGATGAGCAGACCATGCGCAGTGAATGAGGCATGCTTCCTGAGAAAACTCCGCAGTTGACAACGCTGGGTCCGTTGTGGGTTTTCCGATTTACTTCTGTTTGGTTTCCCTTGAATCGCCAGTTGGGCAACTTTGAGGATGTCGGTTGATTGGCCACCCATCATTTTATTCAATTCAGAACTCCACTTTTCACTTTTCTTGGGTTCACTCTTTTGAGGATGCCGCAAGTTGATTGGCCAGCACCCATCCTGAAACCCACAGGTTCTCCTTTTGTCTCGCATTTTGCCAGTTGGGTGCCCCGTGCCCGCGCCGGCGCGCGCCGCAAGGAGGCGGAGGGATGGGGACTGCCGAGTTCGTGCTATGCGACCTTGGACCCCTTGGATTTGTAGCTGAGAATGCTTATGTGGTTGAAGTAGACCCTGAGTTCATGGACGTTAGACTTTCGGTGAAGACCATTTTCAGAGGTAAACAAAAAGCTTGGATTTCGTTTTCCCAATCCACTCAGGAAGTGAGATTGCACGTGTGTGTCTGTGTGTGTGTGTGTCTCTGTGTCTCTGTGTCTCTGTGTCTCTCTGTCTCTGTGCCTCTGTGCCTCTGTGCCTCTGTGCCTCTGTGTCTCTGTGTCTCTGTGTCTCTGTGTCTCTGTGTCTCTGTGTCTCTGTGTCTCTGTGTCTCTGTGTCTCTGTGTCTCTGTGTCTCTGTGTCTCTGCGTCTCTGTGTCTCCGTGTCTCCGTGTCTCTGTGTCTCTGTGTGTGTGCGTGTGTGTTCGTGTGTGTGTGTGTGTGTGTGTGTGTGTGTATGTCTGTGTGTCTCTGTGTCTCTGTGTCTCTGTGTCTCTGTGTTCCTGTGTCTGTTTGTGTCTGTGTCTGTCTGTGTCTCTGTCTGTGTCTCTGTCTGTGTCTCTGTCTGTGTCTCTGTCTGTGTCTCTGTGTGTGTGTGTCTGTGTGTGTGTGTGTGTCTGTGTGTGTCTGTGTGTGTCTGTGTGTGTCTGTGTGTGTCTGTGTGTGTCTGTGTGTGTCTGTGTGTGTCTGTGTGTGTGTGTGTCTGTGTGTGTGTGTCTGTGTGTGTGTGTGTGTCTATGTGTGTGTGTGCACTTCTTTTGAAGCCATACCAAAAGCTGAAAGGGATGGTGTACCCTCAAAGAAAGATACATATTCCCTTGTTTGACTCGGAACTTCTGAGTTCCTTTTGGTGTGCCTTTAGACGATGACTTCAGAAGGGTGCCCTCCAAAACAGAGCTCTTTAATCAAGGTCTTTTTTGGAAGAGCGGTAGTGAATAGGGCTTAACTGGTTGGGCTGGGGCACGTGTTCCCCTTTTCGTTGCCAGGGCTGAGGATGGCGTTTCCAAGGGGTTCTGCTCTATTCTCCGCGGGTGCTTCAAGTGCTGTTGGTTGCATGCTAAGGTCTTTAGCAACCAACGCAGAGCATATTTCTCAGGACCCCTGGCCAAATGGGTAAAGAATTGGGACCATTCCCCCCCGCCTCCCCCCCTCCAAAAAGTAGAAAGGGCTTCGGTGCCTGCTAGTTGTGAAACAACCCCCAAAAGAGGTGCTCCAAAGAAAGACGTGTTTTTGTGTTTTGCAAACTGGGGGTGGGGCATCGGCTACGAAAGTGGTTTTGATGGGTTGAACATGTTCTTTTGAAGATCACGTTAGAACTTGGCAATGACGACCTTAGTCTTACTTCCCGCAGCTTCTAAACTTTAAGCTTTTTGGGAAGCTCAGTTTACTGAGGCACAGCAAGTCGGGCTACGACCCGACGTTTAGAAGTGGGATGGCGAGGGGAGGAGGCTTGCCAACCTTTTCTACTTCTAGTAACATTTGGGTGTGTCTTGTTTTAGAGAGGCCCCCCCTTTGGGTTGGCTTAAAGGGGAACCAAAGGAACACCACCATCTTAGGGGTCCCCTAAGAGATATTCCCCCGTTTTGCTTTTGAGGGATATACTCGCAACATGGACTTGGGGAATCTTCGCTGGGCATGGCTTTGGGCCATTCTGTTTTCTGATTGCCCCAAGGTACACTAAAATCCAGGGGTCCCCGCGTTAGGTGACAGCCACCCCTAGTAGGTATTTGCTTCGATCTTGGAGTTGGCCCAAACCTCAGTTACCAAGAGTGGAGCCAATGTTATGTCCATTATGTCCAGGTTCGTTGGGCCGACCCTGGGCGAAGTTCCTTTACCCTGACTATGGATTGGCTCATGTTTTAGGAATTCAACCGCGTAGTTGCGCCTTTGGGAGTATTCAAGCCATTGGAAACCAGCTTCCCTTGAGGCTCAATGTGTGTGTTTTGTCTACCCACATTTGCAACTCACTCCCTGAGTTCATGCTCTTCATTACTTTTTGGCACGGAAGATCGTTTCAGTGGCGAAGAATAAGTTTCGATTTGGACCAATCTCAGGAAGTGAAGGGGAAGGTAGGTATACCATTTGTTGGGTGGTTTAGAAGGACAACCAAGAAAACCACCCATGTTTGGTGGTTTAGAAGGGCATGTTTGTACCCATTTTCGGCCAAGCACAACGAGAGGAGAGGCCCCGTTCGGGCCACCCAACGGACGTGCCTCAGGCAGCGGATGAGGCGGAGCCCAGCGCGAAGGCCATCGTCGCCTGGGCGGGCGCCAGCGTCGGAGACCTGCGAAGCTTCTCGGCGAGTCCTTCGGGCGAGGGCGCTCGCGGCTCGTGAGCGGTGAGCGACAAAAGCGGGGGTTACTTTTGGCGTCCTGAGATCGGCGAATTCACGTAAACAAAACTAACACATCAATTAATCAATACTATTGGCACCACCAGAGGCCTGACAAAAAGTCAAGGATATTAGGATTAGTGGTTTGGAGTTAGCTTTGAACGGGCCCTGGTTCTTGTAGAGGGTAATTAGATGGGAAACCAGCCCACAACACCATCAAACCACTAATTAGTGGGAGGCTGAATTCAGGCTGTCGAAAATCGGGTTTTGGCCGACCGAGGGAATCCTTTTGTCAGGCTAGTTGTTGATTGAACAATTGCACAAGTCTAGACCTTTGCAGGCAGGCTGTAGATATTAGCAGCTTTGGGGTCGATAGGCCCAATTAAATAAGCTTTGGTGGGTGGGCACACCACGTAAGATGGTGGGGTTCCATGGTTTAATGTCAACCCCAGTGGATCCCTTTACCTGTAGGAATCCAAGCTTGCCACCCTTGAAAAAAGACAGAAGGAATAATATAGCTGGTGACCTGCTATGGGATCCGCCGGGCTGGATGAATACGCCCCTGGTGGATGAATAGGGGGTGTCCGCTGTTCAATTGGGGATTTCGCGCTGGAGAAGACAATCACCACCATGTTAATAGGACGGGTTTATGAATCTGCAGGTCACATTTGTGGAATCACCCACAGTTTAGTTGGGAGTTTTGGAAAGGGGGCCAACTATGCCTTTTTGTTCCGGGGTAAAGAGAGATACGAGCAGAGTTCTGGGGCTTCAATCTAGCAAGGACTCCAGCCCTTGCAGTTTCGTTCTGAAGGTTCAGTAAGCATGTGGCTGTGGGTCAAAAATAGGTACCCAAAATGGCTTGCCCTGGTAAATGGAAGCATGGGCTAAAACCTGCGGTCCAATTCCTGGTTTAATTTTGACCCATGCCCATGTGGTCTCTGTTTCTCTCAGTAAGCGACCCGGGCATCTTGACTTCTTGGAAGCCCAGAGCTTTTCTGTTGCATTCCGGGCAGTTGGATCCGGACCATCCGGACTGAGGAGTGATTCGATTTTGCCACTCTGAGTTTCTAGTTACCTCTATACGCAACCGAGGGAACCAGCAAGGGAAACCATGCTGGTTACTTGGAGCGGGGAGCTGCGGGCGGTTTTTTCTCTTCCTTAGTTTGGGTGGTTTTAAGCAGTCACGGGTTTCCGAGTATGTTGTCCCTACATCCCATAGAGGTGTTTCCTTCGGCGAAACCTGTCGGGCGGCTCGCTCCGCCCATTTCTCAAGGCTCGGGACGGGTCTACGAGTGGAGACGCTTGTTTGCAACGGGACAAGGCCGATAGCGCGATAGGGAATGACCGTTCCGGGCGTTGGGAATGAACCGGAAGGGGATTCCCTTAAAGGAAACCACTGGGGATGGTTTTTTTTTTTCAGGTCATGTTCATTCCCTGCTGAGTACGTTTTTTATTGTTTGTCTGTTGCTTGAGTGCTTCCTGGCCAGCAATTCTAGGCAACTGTTTGATATGTTTACCTCTCCAGGTTTTGCATGATGGTGTTCCCTGCCGACTCACTATGGCAACTGGAAGCACTGGGTTGGTTTGGACATACAAAAGAACGAAGTCATGACCAGTAATTAAATGACCCTGGAGCACCCTTCGTTACATAAATTTCTGCCCTTAGCCCAAACGTATTGCAAAACCAGGGGTCGTCACCAAAATATGGTAAACGTACACTTTTTCCTGCTTCGAGCGTTTTTCCCAAAACCGGGCTGGTCGGTCCTCCAAGATGATCGGTCGCTGAATATTCAAAAGGAGCGAGCAGAAATCGAAGTGCAAAACGAGCGCACATATCCGCAAAACGAGCGCAAATATCCGCAAACGAGTGCAAATTTAAAAAACGTAACAATCCCGCCTTCCTCTGGATGGAAGAAGGGGATGTGGTCGAGCGTTTTTCGGGGGGCGAGCGTTTTTTGGGGGCTCGAGCAGAAATCGGTAATTCGAGCGTTTTTTTCTCGTACCTAAAAAAAAAGGCACGTTGGGTGCCTCAGGACGCAGATGTGTTTTGTCGACACTCTCAACCGTCAACACGTGGAAGCTTTGTGTCTTTGGGGATGGCGACTACACTTGAGTGATGCACCCAACGAAGACTTGTGGCCTAGGTGGTTTTCTCGTGTGCATGCACCTGACCGCACCCGTGAAAACTGCGGCTGGAACCTTTTGGATGGAGTCAGATTCCGAACTTCGAAGGCCATACCGGGTCCAGCGACAGCGAGCCTTCCGTGTGAAAACACGACACTTCAGGTGCGGGGGTTGAGCTTTGAAGAGCGGCTGTTCCCTCGGGAGCACTCTGCGCACCTGCTCCTCTATGTGTTCCATACGTTGCGCTTAAAAAGTTTGAGAATTTTTTGAGTCCAGTTCTGTCAACTCCTAAAGTTTATTGGCAACTTTTGTCTCCTTAGCTTGTGACAGTCAACCCGCAAAGGGGGTGCCTGATTCTTCCAGGGGGTAAGGTTTGACATATCATTACCCTCTTTGAGTTGTTCCGCAAAATGTCCACCCCAGCATGCCAAAAAATGCTTTTTTCCCAAAGAATGACCCGACAAGGTGCCTCCAAAGAAAATGACCCAAAAAGGCGGCCCTCTAAAAAAGCCAACTTTCTGCACATTTCCAAAGCCCCATGCCCAGTTGGTGCTTGTGCTTTCCTTTACTCAAAACCCAAAGAGACGCTTCCCCAGGCTGGCAGTGGGGCATTGGCCCGTTGGTCCCCGTCTTCGTTGAGCACGACGCCTGTCTCAAGGTCTTCGAGTTGTGCTGTTGGCCCAGTTGAGTATCTCCCAGCCCAGCGAATTCCAGGCAAGCCCTTATAGTAGGTAACCAGCTATTTTCCTTTTGGTTTTTAAAGGGTGGTTCCCTTGGGTTCTTACTACACAGGTAAATGGATCCATCAGGGTTTGTCAACATTTGGGGACACCAACAAATTGTGGCTGTCCTTTTGGTTTCTCTTTAGAACCACCACCACCCCACAATGGGGAACCCTCAGACAACACACACACACACAGTTGCTCTGCGGGTTCGATTGGTGAGTTCAGCGCCCACTTGAAATGGTCAATCCGAAAAAGAAAAGACACAAAAAACAACCTACAACATTATCTTGGCAACTGGATTTAGGTTGAGGTATAAGTAGATGGGTTAAAGCATTTGGCTTACTTTGGGACCATACCAATTAACCTGTTGCGATTTTGCCGACTTCCTTTTTGTTCACAGAGAAGAAACCAACACCTCTTTGACCAGAGAGTGACCGATTCAGGGGTAAAATTTAAGCTCATGATATTGGTCCAAAGCGGATTCTTTCCCAGTCTGTGAATCACCCTTCCTCTCACTATCGTAAGCATTGGGAGGGTACACGTGCCATGTTACTGGGAGGGCGTGCGATTTGGATATCAGAAACCCAAGTTTCGACATGGGGTCTCACCTAAACCCAACCAGGGAACTCAACATGCTCGCCAGCTAAATTTGAAGCAATTAACCTTCATGTGCAAGGTCATGCTTGCTTGTGGAGAACTTGGCAAGTCAAACCCTAGAATTGTCAAAGGCAACCCATTTTGTGTGGTTACTCTCCCTTTCCTGGAAGTCAGAGGGATAACCAGATTTGGCGAACATTAGAACCAAAGAACTAGGCCAAGTGACCCTCAGTTTAGGGGGAAAGCAACAGGATGTTCCATCCCGCCCACCCCAGACTTGACTCCGGGCCAATTCCCCCTGTCCCAGGATCTGGGCTTCCGACCCTCCAAATTGGGTCAAAGGTCCGGTCGGTCTCAGGCTGTGAGTCAAAAATCGGGTGACCCCAGAATCGGTTATCTTCCCTGGTAAATGGAACCAAGGACGATTTAACCTGGAGTCCCCATGGTGGCTTAAGTTTGACCCATACCGGCCCAGATACAGATCTGAAAAACGATTTTGATGCGCTTTTTGTGGATTTCACCTGTTCTTCCCCGTGTTGCTCCTGTTTTAGTACTCTTTCAATACTCTTTGGATATCCTGCAGGGTTGGATCCACAAAAGCCACATCCAAACCGTCTCCAGAACAGATATCAACCACTGTGTGACTATGTCGTATCAAGATTCTCGTAGACATAAAAGGGATAAAAAGAGAAACGGAGGCTGATTGACCCACACTTTGAGGATCGCTCTCCTCATGCTGAGCGGCAGGCACTTTTGTCCTTGCTGTACAGTTTGCGGACTTAGGCTGTGAAGCGATGGCTGGGGGCGTCCGGCTCTTCACCCTCTTTGTTCGGAACAGCACATGGACTGGACCTTTCACCGCTGTTAGGCATGTATGCAATGTTGTGCTTTGGCTCACCTAAGTTTGCCGGAACCCCACGAACCAGCATTCCGGGTGCTGGATTTGGATGCAAAAGCCGTAGCCATGTTTACCCCTGAGGCCCTGAGCAGTGAATTCGGACAGCGTTTCGGTTTTGCCCTTCTCGGCAAAGCCAAAGCGCTCGCCGGCGTTGTACATGTTTTGCTGGCCGCCTACACGGAAAAACCGGGGAGAAAGATCGCAGGATTTCCTACGAGCACTTGCTTGTTGGAGATGGGAGCATGCAAAAGGGGTCATCAAGGTCCCAGCGGGCCTGTCAGAATCAACTCTCTCATTTCTTGGAGGGTTCCCCTTATGGAGTGGATACTGACCAGAGGAGCCTCACATCGAATGGGATCCCCCTTCGACCTTGGTGCGATTTTTATTTGAGCAACTGTCAGCAATGGAGTGTGGATTGATTTGGCAGAATCAATTCTCTTGATATTTTTCAGGATTCCCCTTATGGAGTGGATTGGCGTAGTTTTAGAGGGAGCCCCAAAAGGCAACGCGGAATTTGTTTTCGGATCCGTGACACCAATGTTCTGCCAGGCAAGAGCCTCGCCGCGCGCCAGCGGCTTCCCCAAGTTTCTGCCGACGTTTGGAGGGTTTACCTTTGTCTAGAAATCGGTGTGGATGTGGCTTTTGTGGATCCACCCATGTAGGATATTAAAAGAGTACTAAGCGATTTGTAAAGAATGGACTGATACGGGCAAGAACAGGAGTTCTAGTCTTGATTCGTGTCAGCAGACGTTGCCCCTTTACGGGCGTGCATAGGCCATGCAAGATGTGGTGACATGTTCACTCGTTTGGAAGGAGTTGAAATCGCTGCCCATTCTGCTACGGCCCCTTTAGCGACCATAAAGTCGCACATTCGAAGCTGGTGTGTCGCAAAGGTGGAGGAGACACCTTTCGCAGTTCAGCTGGTTGCATCTGGCGAGTGCGCAGACTGAGGGCCATCTTAAGCTCATATCAGCTGCATGTGCGTAGCTTGTGCTTGTGCTGCAACTAAGTTGTTGAGTTTTGCGGTTTTGTGATGCTGGTAGTGTGCTGCCTTTGTGCCCATAATTTCAAGAGTAGCTGTTTGCTTGAGCATGATTTGAGATCCTTCGAAGTCACACTGGGAGAAGGAAATGCAGGGCACTGGTTGTTGGCCATGGATCCGTTGCCTCGACTTCGGCTTGCCAAAATCCCTGCCCCTTGGTTTGGGTAGACATGGGAACCCTTTTTTATGATCCGAAAATGGAACCCTTTTGCTGACCCATTATTAGCTTACAGGGAAATCACCCCAGTTTCTGACTTTGATAACCTCAGACACTGTCAAAATAGGTCCGGTTTCGGGGGTTGGCACCGCTTTTAGTGGGACAGCCTTGCCATGTCACAATTGGAGCATGAGGGAGCTCTACACATTGGGTTGTTTGTGAGGGGAGGTTTTCATATTTGGACCATGGGCAAAAGACACCGTTACGTACTTTGGGTTGGTAGTGTTTGGTGGGGATGGCGATCAACCTCTCAGGCATTTAAGAGCAAACATACACAAGCCCTTACGGGAACCATGACCATGTCCTGAGGAGTTTTGACCTTAGATCTGAGCAGCCTTTGTTGCAAGAAACGATCGAGATGGGAACCGCCACCAGGGTGGTGAGACGGGTACAAAACAGAGACGGCTTGGTTGCAGCACTGAGGGTTATATGTTTTTCCCTCAGTTTCATTCCCCAGATAGCTGAAAGCTATAGGGGTTCTAACTTCCAATAACGAGGGGAAGGTGATTTGCGAGATTGAGGGCCGGGTGCTAGGGGGCAAGCAGTTTCGGGTGCTGGTGGATGCTGTTTTGCGAGCTTGACGGCCGTGCTAGGGGGCATGCAGTTTGGGGTGCTGGTGGACTGGTGGATGCTGCTTTGCGAGCTTGACGGCCGGGTGCTCGGGGGCATGCAGTTTCGGGTGCTGGTTGACGCGGTTTTGCGAGCTTGACGGCCGGGTGCTGGGGGGCATGCAGTTTGGGGTGCTGGTGGATCCTTTTTTGCGAGCTGGCCGCATGCAAGTTGGGGTGCTCGGGGGCATGCAGTTTGGGGTGCTGGTGGGTGCTCCTTTGCGAGCTTGACGGCCAGGTGCTCGGGGGCATGCAGTTTGGGGTGCTGGATGCTGTTTTGCGAGCTTCACGGCCGGGTGCTGCGGGGCATGCAGTTTGGGGTGCTGGTGGATGCTGCTTGACGGCCGGGTGCTGGGGGGCATGCAGTTTGGGGTGCTGGTGGACGCTGTTTTGCGAGCTGGCCGGGTGCTGGGGCGCATGCAGTTTGGGGTGTTGGTGGACGCTGTTTGGCGAGCTTGACCCGGGTGCTGGGGGGCACGCAGTTTGGGGTGCTGGTGGATGCTGCTTTGCGAGCTTGACGGCCGGGTGCTCGGGGGCATGCAGTTTGGGGTGCTGGTGGATCTGGCTGGTGGACGCTGTTTGGCGAGCTTGACGGCCGGGTGCTGGGGGGCGTGCAGTTTGGGGTGCTGGTGGATGCTGCTTTGCAAGCTTGACGGCCGGGTGCTCGGGGGCATGCAGTTTGGGGTGCTGGTGGACTGGTGGATGCTGTGTTGCGATCTTGACGGGTGCTGGGGGGTATGCAGTTTGGAGTGGTGATCATCATGATGCTGTCCGCATCATCATGATGCTGTCGAACTCATCAGGGCGTCGTTTTTGCCTTTTCCTGCCAGATATGTAGCGCGGACTCGTCGTGGCTGGTGTATCAGCATGATGTTCTCAACATCATCATTATGCTGCTGAACTCATTAGGACGTTGCCTGCGCGTTTGTTTAGCGCACCATGCTCGGTGGCTGTGGTATCACCATGGTGCTGTCTATATCACCATGATAGTGCTGCGTCGTGGTTTCGTAGTCGTGGTGTGCTATCTGGGGTCTATGCTGGTGTATTTCCTGACCTTTGGTGCCCGTTCATCTTTTTGTTTGTGGTTTCCCATACTCAGCTCTTCTTCCCGAAAGGCCACTGAAGGTCTGGGTGGGTTTGCCCTACCCAAAGATGAATCCCTGAGCTGATTTTGGCGCTATATTATGCAGTGTTTCTTGCTGGGTCCCTGTGTTGAAGAGAAACAGAAGGAGCTGCCACCAGTTCAGGGATGATTCCCCAGATAGCTGAAAGCTTTAGGGGTTCCAACTTCTACTAAAGAAGGGAAAGTGATTTGCGAGCTTGAGGTCCGGGTGCTAGGGCGCATGCAGTTTGGGGTGCTGGTGAATGCTGCTTTGCCAGCTTGACGGCCGGGTGCTAGGGGGCATCCAGCTTGGGCTGCTGGTGGAGGTGCCGCTTTGCGAGATTGACGGCCGGGTGCTAGTGGGGCACGCAGTTTGGGGTGTTGGGGGAGGTGCTGTTTTGCGAGAGTGATGGCCGGGTGCTAGAAGGCATGCAATTTGGGGTGCTAGTGAGGTGTTGTTTGGCTCTTGACGGGTGGGTGCTATGGGGCATGCAGTTTGGGGTGCTAGTGGAGGTGCCGCGTGCTAGGGGGCATGCAGTTTGGGGTGCTGGTGACGGCCGGGTGCTGGGGGGCATGTCGTTTGGGGCCGGGTGCTAGGGCCTAGGGGGCATGCAGTTTGGGAGTTTGGGGTGCTGGTGGATGCTGTTTTGCGAGCTTGATGGCCGGGTGCTAGGGAGCATCCAGCTTGGGCTGCTGGTGGAAGTGCCTGACGGCCGGGCGCTAGGGGGGCACACAGTTTGGGGTGTTGGGGGAGGTGCTGTTTTGTGAGAGTGATGGCCGGGTGCTAGGGGCATGCAATTTGGGGTGCTAGTGAGGTGTTGTTTTGCGAGCTTGACGGGTGCTATGGAGGTGCCGCTTTGCGAGATTGGCGGCCGGGTGCTAGGGGGCATGACAGCTGTTTTGCGTGCTTGACGTCCGGGTGCTAGGGGGCATCCAGCTTTGGCTGCTGGTGGAGGTGCCGTTTTGCGAGATTGGCGGCCGGGTGCTGGCATGCAGTTTGGAGTGCTGGTGGACGGCCAGGTGTCAGGGGGCATGTAGTTTGGGGTGCTGGTGTAGCAGGGGGCATGTTGCTGGTGCAGGTGGTGCTGGTGAAGGTGTAGGCGCATTTTTGCCACATTGATGGCTGCATGCAGTTTGGGGCGCTGATGCAGGTGCTGTTTTTGGGGGTGGTGCTGTTTGAGGTGCTGGTGACGTTGTGGACGCAATTTTCCGAGATTGCCGGCGGGTGCTAGGGGCATGCAGTTTGGGGCTGTGTCAGGTGCTGTTTTGGGTTGCTGTTTGAGGTGCTGCTGACCGCTCGGGCGCTTATTTCCCAGACAATTGAAAGACATAGGGGTTCTAACAGACGGAGCAGTTTTGGGGTGCTGTTCGGTTGTGAGGTGCTGGCGCAGGTGCTGCGTTGGGGTGCTGTTGCGGCTGCTGTTTTGAGGGCGGGTGCTGTTTGGGGTGTCGCAGTTGTGGCATCATCATGATGCTGTCCGCAGCATCATGATGCTGTCAACTAAATCGATTCGGACGTTGTTGCTGCCCGAGCTGCGGCGCGTAGTGGTTCGTGGCTGGTGTATCATCATGATGTTGTCAACCACGTCATGATGCTGCTGGAATCACTGCGATGCTGCGTTGTGGTTCGTGGGTGCGGTGGCGCCATGATGCTGTCAACATCAGGATGATGCTGAATTTCATTACGCTGTTGCAAGATGATTTGTGGCGGTGGTATCATCATTCGCCTGCCTCTACCATCACAATGACGCTGTTCGCATCACCATGATGCTGCCGGCATCATCATGATGCTGTTCACATGATGATGATGTTGTCAACATCATCATGATGCCGCGGGAACCATTATGATGCTGAGTCATGGTTCATGGCTGTGGTGTGCTATCTGGGGTCTATGGTGGTGTAATTTGTGTAAGACACGCATCACTAGAACGGGCCCCCATTTTTGGCCGCCATTTTGGTTGATTTT